ATAGAAAATGTGGTACAAAAAAAAAAAAAAAAAGAAAAAGAAAAAGAAAATGTGGTGTATATATACAAGTGGAATTTATACACCATTTAGAATGCAGAATTATATGATATATAATACATAACAGATGTTAATCAACATTATATATTGTATATAATATTGTTAAAATTAATTATGCCAATATCATTAATATTAATTGATAACAATTAATGGTTAATAACTGTCACTGATTTATATTGTTTTGTTATTAATGTGAATTACTAATGGTTAATAACTGACATTGATGATTTATATTGTTATATTAATGTTATCTTATTTTGATGTGAATATTTGTATTAATATTACACTAATGTGAGCCAGGGAGATAGCTCAGTGGATTAAGTGCCTACTTAGGCAAGTGCAGGGACTGACTGAGGTTCTATCCCTGGCACTATGTGCCTTGCTGGCCCTGCCCACGGGAGTGCTGAGCTGGCAACCAAGACCGGACATGGTGGCATACGCCTGTAATCCCAGCACTGGGGAGGCTGAAAACAGGAGGATCACTACGAGTCCGAGCTGCGGAGTAAAATCCTGTACCAAATACGTTTTTTTTTAATTAAAATTTTTAAAATTACATTAATGTGATTAACATAGTAATATTATTGATACTTTATATATTGTATATAGTAACTGATACACATGTACACACACAACTGAATGAAAAAGAAGGAATCCCTGTCATCTGCAGGAGAATAAATGGATCTTGAGTCTGTAAGATTAAGTCAAGTCATGGGGAGATGGCTCAGTAGAATAAGCACTTGCCTGGCAAGCGCAAGGCCCTGAGTTCAATCCTGGGTTCCGGAAAAAAAAAAAAAAAAAGATTAAGTCAAGTCAGATATAGAAAGCCAATATTGCATGGTTTCTCTCATAAGAAAAGCCCCAAATATAAAAAAATTAATGAGTAAACTAAAGGGCAGATGATAACAAGTAAGGAGGTAGACATTTTGGATGTGGGAAAAGGGACCAGGGGAAGGAAGCAGGAAATGGTATCAAAAAGATCAGGATGGGAGCTGAGGAGATGGCTCAGTGAAAAAAGTGCTTCCCTGGCAAGCGCAAGGGCCTGAGTTCAATCCCTGGTTCCACGAAAAAAAAAAAAAAAAAAAAGATCAGGGTGCATACACATATGTCCCACTTCCCCAAAGCCAGTGTAAATATCATGAAACAAACATATGCCAGTGCATCCATACAATGGAGCATTAATTAGCACAAGAACAAAAGAAGAGGGCTGGCCAGATAGCTCAGACTAAAGCCAGGCGCAGGGACCAGGGTACAATGCACCGCTTACCATGCCGGCCCCGCCTCCAAGGCATACTGAGATGTTGATTGAGACTGGGCGTGATGGCACAGGCCTGTAATCCCAGCACTTGGGAGGTTGAAAACAGGAGAATCACTATGAGTCTGATCTAGTGAGATCCTACAGACTTAAATATCAAAAAAAAAAAAAAAAAAAAAAAAAAAAAAAAAAAAGCTGGGGAGATAGCTCAGTAGAATAAGTGCTTCCCTGGCAAGCTCAAGGGCCTGAATTCAATCCCTGGTTCAAAAAAAAAAAAAAAAAAAAAAAGAACAAAAGAAGTACTAATACACACTACAACATGGATGAACCCTAGAAACAGGTACAAAGAGCCACACGCAAAAGGGTGCACACTGTGATTGCATTTATACAAAACATCCAGAATGGAAAAATCACTGGCTGGAAAGTTGGCTCCTAGTTGTCAGGGACTGAGTGCAACAGAAAACTACCCTTCCCCCACCCCAGCCAGTAGCCTTCAGTTTCTTAGTCACCCAGGTAACAGCTCCCGTGGCAGGTCCCCTTGCTTCTGTCTCCTGGAAATAGCTGGTCACTGGGAGGCATGCTGCAAGAACCAATCAAAGACAGCCAAATACTGTACCCCTGTACCTCCCCTCTGCAACCCCATACAGCCTCCCTAGGGCCTTCAGGGCCTGACGCTGTGGGAATGATCTAGGTCAGTGCCAGCCGGTGGACATAAATAAATCTGCCTCCGAATCCTGGGTGCTGTTCTGGTGCTTCTGTTTGCCGCAGCAAGACGGAGGAGGGCTGGGCAGGGGATGCTGGTGGGTTCCAGTTCTCCCTTTTTGGCTTTTGTGGGGGGAATGAAAATGTTCTCGAATAGCAGCGACAGCCATGCAAGCCTTGGGTATATTGTAAAAAAACCACTGAACTGTGTACTTTACAGTGGTGACTCTTACAGTATAGGAATTATATCTCCATTTTTTAAAACTACATAATTAAAAGATGTATCAGAAGAAACAGAAAATTTGTAATCAGAGTTGGAGAATTTCCTCTCTGGGTCACTGATAGAACAAACAAGCCAAAATCAGTGTGGATAAAGATCTGAACACCGCAATTAAAAGCCTGTGCAGACAGCTGTGTCTGGTGGCACACACGCTGCGAGTCCCAGCTGCTCGGTGGCTGAGGCAGGAGGAGGGCAAGCTCAAGAGCAGCCTGGACACTTCGGTGAAGATGTGTTTACAGACACTGGCAGAAAACTGCCCCCAATGGTTAAGATGAAAAGCTGACACTGGCTAGCTCAGTGGGGGAGCACATTAGCATTTCTAAGGTCTTGGGCTCCATCCCCAGCAGTACAAATAGTAAAACTGGTTTAACATTTTATTTGCTATGCTATGTATTTTTCTTAGTACACAGCTACAGTACAGAGGGCTTACATTCCTATGTGGGTATGACGCGGACAGGACACAGCTTCGCCCCTTTCTTCACCCTCTCTCTCCATCTCATGATCCCTTTCCCATGTGCAAAAGCTCTGGTTTTATTCCCTTTGGTCTTTGATTTTAATCTTTATTTGTATATGAGTTTCTCATATAAAAGAAACCATGAGATATTTAAACTTGTGTGGCTCAATTTATTTCACCTTGCACTATGGTTGCAAGATGCATCGATCTCCTTACAAAATACTCACGCTTATCCTTCCTCCGCTGCGGTTAAACGCTGCATTTTCTTCCTCTGTTCATCTGCTGGTGGGCATATGGCTGAACTGAAGCCGCCACTGGCTGAGCCCTTGCTCCGGACGCGCCAGGGAGCAGGCCGGGTGGGCTGTGCTACAACACTTCTGCCACTCCCCTTTACTGCCACAGCCTCTCAGGAGATGCAGAGATGGGGCTACGGGGGGTACAGAGAGGGTGCCAAGCTACCAGCTTGCTCCTCACCTATTTACCACCATTTAGTACTAAAGTCTTATTTTCCTAGAGATTTGACTAGAATCTTACTCATACAGGAATCAAAACAAGTCCTGGAGTAATTGCGTCAGATGTGAACCTCAACAAAAATATAGGTAGGCACCAGCAGTATATAATACAGTGAAGGTTTTTGTTTTGTTTTGTTTTGTTTTGTTTTGAATAGCAAGCTTACTGCTCTTACTCAAGCTTGAAGCTCTAAATCTCAGGCATTAGACATCTGTACAGCTACCTTCCCAACCTGTCAGGGAGGTCCTCTCCTCCCCAGCCCCTGAAGAAGGCCGAGGCCCCTGCCAGGAAGCGGCAGGCCCCAGGTGTGGATAACTATGACCCTAGAATCCAAGCAACGACATGGCCTCCGCTGCTGTGTCACAACGCTGCGCTGTCTCCACAGGCACCAGGCCTCTGAGTGACACCGGAGATGACTCATATCTGATATCTGATCTTCACAGCAACCTGGAGAAGCAGGTGGCACCAGGATCAAGGGATTTTATTAATGAAGAAACCGAGGCACACACACAATGAAAGACAGGTACATTGTGGAAAGCCCTGAAGGCCCCACTCACCCTAGGGCAGGGACATCAGCAATTCTTAAGAGAAGAAAAAAAAAAAAAAAAAAGCAGAGACCATCAAGGCCTCCAAGAGCCGACTCTGAAATTAAAAAACTGCCACCATGTCATTTAACAAACACATTTTTATTCTCTTATTGTACTTACAGGGTTCTATGATTGGGGTGGTAAGTCCAGGTGTCCACTGGTCACGGGCTCATCAGCAGTATTCCCCAGTGTCCTGACATGGCCTTCACCACGGCCTTCCTGAACAGCTTCACTGACAACAGCTGCCCTGGGCTGTGGCTAAGGATTAGGCTCTGACAAGCCATGTCCAGGGGCTGCCCTTGTGCACTTGTGCACAGCCCTTCCCTGTGGCATAAGCACACAGTCAGGCTGGCCTCCCACAGAGCGACACCTCTGCGGGAAGACACTGCAGCTTCACCAGATCCACATTATAAGGGAGTAAACTGACACTCAGAGAGGGTGCGGGACATACCCAAGGTTACCCAGCTAGGAAGCAGAAGATCTGGGGCAAGAACTCAGGTCTCCTGCTAGCTAAGCCAGCGTCCTACCCAAGAGCACATCAGGCCCATGGGGAAGGGGGACTTGCTGGATGTAAAAACAGCTGTAGCAGAAAGCAGAGTAAGATGGAAACGGCCAGAGCCTGGCCCTAAAAGAGCCCTTAAGAATCATCCAATCCACCCATCATAAAGATGGACAAACTAAGGACCAGCCAAAGAAAGCAACTTGCCCGAAGTGACACAACCGACCACTGAGGATCAAGACCAGAACCCAGGCCCATCACAATGCAGATTTCATCATCCAACCAGGTTTGGAGAGCAACTTGAGGGTGCTGTTATCCAGAGAGCAAAGCAAACCATCCACAGGGATTTTTCCCTTTAGCAAGCCTAGGCCTTCAGGAGTTTCCAATCTGGCAGAAAAACAGGTACGCAGGTGCGTAGGAAATGAGAACCAGTAACATAAAGTATCGATACAGGGAGCTGCTGTAACAAGAACTTAGAGCTGGCAGTGAGCAACAAGAAAGACTTCCTGAGAGGGCCGGCGAGATAGCTCCGCAGAGTAAGCAACCGCTTAAGCAAGCACAGGGACCGGAGCTTGAACCCGGCACCACCGGCCGTGCTAGCCCCACCCCCAGGGCGGGCTGAGCCAGCTGCCAAGACCAAGCATGATGACGCACACCTGTAATCCCAGGCTGGGAAGGCCAAAACTGGAGGTTTACTACAAGTCCAAGCTGCATAGCGAGACCCTGTACCAAATACATAAATTTAAAAAAAAAAAAAAAGACTTCCTGAGGGAGGAACAAGGAATGCTGGGAGTCAAGGCATGAATGAGAGTCCAACAGACAGAAATGAATCCATGTGTCAGTGCAAAGAAGACTTGGCTATAAAGGGGTCTTGTGGGAGAAGATGGCAAAAATCATGGCTAAACGTTGGGCCTGGAGCCTTCAGAGGCTGAGCCAGGGCCTTGCAATCCATGGGGCCTAGGAACAACAGGTCTTCAAACCTTTGGAGAGCAGAATCCCAGCAGGTCTCAAAGCTCCTCACACAATCCCAGAGTGACGGATCAGATGTCACAGCGGGACGATGTCAGTATCAGAAAACATGAGTAGGGTTTCACATCTGCAGGATAAAACCACAGCCGCGAGCACACATGTCTTTGAGCAATAAAACCATGGCCACAAGCACACAAGGCTTTGAACAAACAGTGCTCAAGTCAAACAGGATTGATCCAGCTTTTGCAAATACCCTTGGGAGCAGCATCCTCAGTCTTCTGGGGTCTCCCCTCAGGCTTCTCCTCTGTCTCAGTCTTTCACCCCGGAGCCTGGTGCTGGCACACAAGCCCAGGCACCACTGCCGCTGACACAAGGTGAGGGTGAGCAGCCTATACAAGGAGGACATCCTGAGCGGCCTTCCTACAACTCCCAGGGTCAGAGGTGAAGCCTAAGAGCAGCGCTCGCCCTGAGCCTGTTTCCCCGTCTCACGTGAAGTGGCTCAAGATGGGAACAGCTTGTAAGACCAAGCCTTGGATACCTGATACACCCTGGCAGGTGGGCTGTAGGTCTCCTGGGCCTGGAAGCAGCAGGGTGGAGGAGTGGCCTCTCCATCCATACCTGAAGCTCTGCAACCCAGAGGGCTGGGGTGGAACCAGCCCACCAACCATCCGCTTTAGCAAAGCCCCACAGGCAGTCGGTATGGGGTCCCGTCGAGGCATTTCTGCACAGGGTCCCGGCACAGGCCCAGCATTGCTGCTGCGGATGTCACGGCACCGCCGGGGCACTCCTGACGCCCATCGCCAGGACGCTGTCTTTGGCTCCAGAGGCCTCCCTTCTCAGTCTTGCAGGAAAATAAAGGCTTTGGTTCCCAGGTCACCTGTTCAGGAAGGGGCAGCACCCCGGACCCAGGATATGTGCTTCTATGAGCTGGCAAGGGCATGGAACCCTTGGCAAGTCCACGTGACGGGTCCCCATGGACTGGGGGAGCTGGGAGGTCACCAGGAGCCGAATGTAGTAGCCACCAAATACCGCCAGCAGCTGCTGAGCCATTTCCTGGAAGAGGTAGGAAAGCAGAGTGAGGCAACAGGAGGTTCCGGGAGCATGCTGCGGCTTAGGCACAAGGGCACCAGACTATGCTCCTGCTTCTGGCCCAGGGGTGATGTTCTCTGAGAAGAACCAGGCGAGGCTGGCAGCCACCTGGGCAGACACTGGCCTGGTCTAGAAGGCCACCTCTGCAGTGCCCTGGCTCGGAACACATGCAGCCTACTTCTTCAGATCCAAGGCAGGGACCTACTGCTGCTTGTGATAACAGTATGCACAAGGGCAAGGGTGTGGGTCAGAGGCAGAATCAATGCTTAGCATGCACGCACAGCCCACTAGCAATATGCACAAGAGCTGTGCAATCTCACATCACTACAGAAGCTACCGATGCCACACACACTTTTTCCATCTTTACACACAGAAGCTATTCATGCTGGTAGGGTTAGTAACTAGGAAAACATTTAAAAGTCAAGAGGATTTGAGTGAACAAGACAGCTCAGCAGTCTAAAGCACCTGCTTAGCAAGCTTAAGCAAGCATGCAGGAACTGTGGTTCGATCCCCAGCACCACATGCCATGCCAGGCCCTCCCCCGCAGGGTGGGCTGAGCGGGCCACAAAAAAAAAGATTTAGGTGTGCTAGCACATGTAATCCCAGACCTCTGGAAGATGGAAGGAAAAAGTCTGCAAATTTGAGCCAAAGCAACTAAGCAACTGACTAAAACCATGCCTGAAATTAAGAAAAAATAAAAAGGGTTGTGGATAAGGCTCAGTGCATAAACTCTGGGGTCAATCCCTAGTGACACACACGTGCACACACAACCAAAGAGAAGCACTGGCTCATCCACTCTGCAATCTGCAGCTGGCCCTGCACTGGTCATTTCACACTGCTGCAGCTCATCTTCGTGGGAGACGCCAGGAAGACAGTAACACGCATCGTGCTGACAGGGGTAAGGACTCAAGGAGCAACGCAACGGAAAGCAGCAGTCCGGTGCCTGGTTCTCAATCCGTCTCAACAACACCCCCAGCATCACCATTATTACTATTACTATTGTTCACAAAATCAGAAACTACGTGGTTCATAGGACTGGTTTTTGTTTTAAGCTGTCCTTTGTACCTAAAAATGTTGAAGACTTTGAACAACCTACCATTCACTAACTCAGATTGGTCCCTTCCCCAATTTAGTCTGAAATCAACAGTATAAGAAGGGAAAAAAAAAAAAAGTAAAGCCATGCTGTTATGTTGAGCTGTGGGGGACTCAGGTCAACAACTTCTGACATTGCCAGTCAAGCAGAAGACCCAATACTATTATGGGCTACTGGACTCTTTTAGAATATTTTGCTGAGTTTACACACCTATAATATTCAAATGACAGAACTAAACAAAAAAGGGGATACAGATGAATGTCCATTTTGTATCTGTGTATTCAAAATGGTTAGGATAGATATATAGTTAAGAGGGATTTGTTCTAATAGTGTTTGTAAATAGGATATCATGTCCACATCGTGCACAGCAATTAACCACTAGGAAGAATGTAGGCAATGTGTTAATTATTGAAACTATCATACCAGTTTGATTTGAAACTGTCTCATTCTATTTGTTTCTCAAAATTATGGAGAAAAAAAATGAAATCTAAAAGAAAAAAAAAACAACAAAAACATAAGAAACAAAGAACTGCAGCAAGAGCCAAGCTGTTAAAAGCCTGCAGGGCTGGCTGCTACACTTGGCTTTGCCACTTCCCCTCCGTCTGGGGCCAAGGCAAGTCAGCTGGCCCCTTAGAGCTTTATTTCACCTGTGGAAGAAGGAAAAGCAGTCCACATCACAGACGGTTTACTAAACATTTGATACCAGATGAAATGGGGTAGGGAGATAGCTTGGCGGTCTAAGTGCCTGCCTGGCAAGTGTAAGGATCCAGGTTCAATCCCCAGTATACATGCTGCGCTGGCCACAAAACCCCGGTGCACCGTGCTGTCCCCAGAACCAGCCATGGTGGCACCTGTGTGTAATCACAGCACTGGGGAGGCTGAGATAGGAGGTTCACTACAAGTCTGAGCTGTGTAGTGAGACCCTGTACCAAATAAGTAAATAATTTTTTTATTTAAAAAAAAATCCATAAAAGTCTAAGCAGTCAGTCTAACTCTGTCTTCCACAGCTAATGGGCTCTGACAGAGCAGAAGGGGCTGCCTGTACCGAGCTACAAGCAGTGACTGCATCTCCCTAGCTAACGGAAGCGTGCTGCTTCAGCAACATTCACACACGCTTGATATGCATAGTGGGACACTGTATGCCTATTGGTTTGGATGAATTCGGAAAAGTAATTTAAAAGACCCACATCTAACGGGTTATTGGACATAAACCCAGACAAGCGTGCCACCATAAAGTGCGTGACCTTATCAATCATTTCTGTTCTCTAAATTAAAAAAAGAAGAAGAAAATGGGAGGCAAGAGAAGTGATGACTACATGCATCATGTTCTCTTCTAAATGGTCCTACTGGCAGCCCCTCCACCTCCCATGGGTGCACAAAAGGTAATACGGGCTGGTTTGAACTTTGGATCCCCAAAGCTCTCGGCTGAAAAGAACACACAAGTGACCTCTTGGATTCCAAGCTGCTCCTTGCTGCTTGCCTCCTCAACAGTGGGTCTGTCCTCATAGTTTCAAGAAAGCAGCAGGAGCTGCAAAATTACCAGATTTCTGGTCTACCAGCAATTAAGGAGCCCCAACAGGTAAACTGGGTAGATGGAAAAACTAGAACTGAAGAGAATCATAAGAATCATATCAGATCCAAATATCTACTTGCCACCTAGGAAGATGAATGGCCAGGTGAACAGATGGCTGATCAATTCATTGGTAAGCGGATTGTCAACTTAGCCAGCATTATTGGCGAAATAAGCTATAAGCCATCAAAAGAGCTATCTATTTAATGTAACTATCAAAAAGTACCCAAGATATTTTAGAATGCAAAAACAATCATAATAAATAAAAAATAATTTCTATAAATGCATGCCTATAATCCCAGCACTTGGAAGGCTGAGGCAGGAGGACTGTTGCGAGTTTGAGACCAGACTGGGCTATAAAGTGAGTTCAAGGCCAACCTGAACTGCATAGCAAGACCCTGTCTCAAAAAAATTAAAAAAAAAAAAAAAAAAATGTTGAGGTAAACAAAAAGAAGATTGAAAGCTCCGATCTACAAGCTCTAGATGGTCTCTACTACCTCGAGAAACCACGAGTTCGTGGGACTTGGAAGCACCACATGACTGTGTCTGGGCAGCAGCCCACACCGGAGGCCTCTTTACCTGTGGCTCCGCCTCGGGCACAAGCTGGTGGAGCTCAGCCTGCAGGACTGGTCTCTCCTGAGAACTAGTCTCTCCTCTGGGCAGGAGAGGAGCATCTTCCAGATCCTCGGGCCCCTCCGTCATCACGGGGTTCACCCCCGTCTCTATGACTACACACAGCTGGCTCAGTCTGCGTCTCAGCAAGGGCTGCAAAGGAAACAGAGAGGTATAGGTGGGTCCTAGGCTGGGAGACCCAGGAGGTGCATGACTCTGAGCTGCAGACCCAAAGGAAGGTGGATCCAGCTGCAGACTCCAGCGCCAGCCTCAGAAGAATCTAAAACAGACCCGTATGGGAGACATGTCACTTCCTACCAGGCCTCCTGAGGGTCATAAAGGGCTTGTAAAGGATTTTGCTTCTAGGCTCTCACTAGTCACCCAAAGCAGCCGCTGATTATTTACTCAATGACCTTTCCAAGGCTTTACAGAGTGAAAACTTCTCAACAGGCCCCGCGTAGCCAACAGCTACCCGCCACCCTGCTTTAGCTACTGTCACCACATGGCCACTCATCCCATCTCTTCCTGCCATCAGGAAGGCACTCCAGGGACCAAGCACAGTGGCACATGCCTCTAATCCCAGGCGCAACTGCTTTAGAGTCTGACACAGGAAGATCATGAGTTCAAGGCCAGCCTGGACAACTTACCAAGACCTCATCTCTACATAGGAAAGGTCAGGAATATGTAGCTCATGGGTAGACCAGTGGGGAGGCCCTGGGTTCAATCCACAGAACCTCAAAAATAAAGATACTGTGAACAGGTGAATGCTGTCTAAATATGTGATACTTTGGTTCTGCCAGGGCTTATTATTAATATGGCTACTAGTGGAAAAAAATATAAGCTCACCGTGGGAAATGTAGAAAGTGTGATTAATAAAAAAACAAAACAAACAAACAGAAAAAAAAAAAAAGCACAGCTGTCAGCCCCTAGGGAGGGCAGCCACTGACTGCACGTGGGCATTCTTCCTTCCAAGGAACTTTCCTAATACTAGCTCTTAGTCAAAAGCCTCACCTGACAATTTTCCAACACTACAGTAATGAATCTTACAGACTGGCCTTCTGGTTGACCACACTGTCCTTTTCTCACTTAGGATATTTTACCTCTTGGCTGGTCTTCATCTCTTGAATATGGTCTGACAAAAACTGCACACAGTGTTCCAGGTCAAAGTAGACAAACCAGAGCTGTGAAAAGAAGCAGCGGCAGGGGTCACTGAGACTCAGCGCCGGCCCAGCCCCCGCCACCTCATCCGCCCCCAACCCCACATCCTCCCCCTCCCAGGAGCACACTTCTGATATGACTTCCTGTGTCCTTTTGTCTGGCAGGAACAAGTCACTCTGCTCTCTCCTGGAGCTCCACACTATCTTGGTCTCATCTGCACAGCTGCCCCAATATGGCTTTGTGTGCAAACTTACAAGATGGCCAGCCCAGTCCACAATCCTAGCACTCCGGGAGGCAGAGTCATGAAAATCAAAAATTTTGAGTCCAGCCTAGGTAACTCTGCAACTTAGCAAGTTCTCTCTAAGTAAAAAATTTTAAGATGTAGTTCAGAGAGAAGGTCCTAGGTTCAACCCCCAGGACCACCAAAAGAAAAAAAAAAAGTCTGATGGCATACAAATGGCCCCCCAAGTCCCATCCGTCACTGAACAGACTCCAGGACAGCTGGTGCCAGACAGACTCCAAATATCTGGACAGCACATATGCACCTGGGGGGCACCTCCATCCTCAGTGGCCAGGGTATCTGTCTATCTGAAGTCCAAACATGCAAATGAGTGAAACCAGTCTAAAGTGACACTTCCTGGGCCTGAGGCAATAGACCTGGCTGCTCTGCGGGGAGGGAAGCAGGAGAAAGTCTTTGACCCACACTTACCTCCCCTTCTGCCTCAACTGAACAGTCAGGTTAAACTCAGCCAGGCTGAGACCCTCAGTGTTCGCGCATCCTGATGCCATGGGGATGTCACATGTCTACACTGAGGTTCTGCACAACAGCAGTGTCCCTTGTCTTACACCTTCCTCCCACTGACCTACCCCCTCCCAGTGCCTGACCCACAAGACCCAAGGGGATGCTCCTCTTGCCAGCTGTCTATCCATGGGGCTTTCACTATCATCATCCCAGGGGCTTTCACTATCAAAATTTCCAAACAAACACAGGACTGGTGACAGCTACCCACCGTACTGCTTCAATGTGCATCACCACAGACCACTCATTTTATCTCTACCCTTCTCCTTCCCCTTCACCAATACCCCATATCCAAAGATGTCCCAGACACTGTATCACTCAACACCAAGATACTATCTTAAAAATGGAAAACGAGTATGCCAGATAATTGTCAACTTGGCTGGACTGAGACTCTGGAAAATGAATGGATCCGGGAGGTACTATTGTCCTCCTCAGTGGGTTAATTCACAGAGAACCACAGCGGTTAGGAGGTGGGGCCTCGGCAGAGTTGGGTCGTACCAGCTAAGAAAGGAGATGTGGAGGATGAAAAGGGACCTGCAGATTCCAGGAGCTCCCTGCCTACAGTGTCACATTTCAACAGTCAGGAATCCGGTGATGCCATCTGCTTCACCTACTGCTGTCAGGCAAGATCGCTTTACACACTATACCGTCTTGGGCGTGATCAGCTCCACAAACAAGAGACCTGTGCACGTCCGCTGCTGTGCTTCAGCACCTAGGACAGTGCCCGGCACATAGTGGGTTCACAATAAACAACTGTAGATGAACAAGGCCTGTGCCCAGGAGCTTCTTCCAGGCTCCCACATACATGCCCACAGCCGGGCTCTACTGGGCTCATCCAGGGCAAAGGGCAAGGACTGCTGAGACACGTATGGGGTGCCAAGACTCTGCAACTCCCCACTGGGCGGAGCCTGGCCAGGATCAGGAGATGGCACCCCAGTGGTGTCTTGATCCACAGTGCAACTTGTACTCACCATTGTTAAGACCTTGTCAATGTCTTGGAGTAAAGAAAATGACTAAGCCAGGCTCAGAGGACAAGAAATAGCCTCAGACCCGCCTCAGCAGCCTCATCTCCCCCTGCTGTGTTACTCCCCTTGGGGTCCTACCCCTGGAGCTCCTCGTGGTCCCCCCAAAGTATCCTGTCTACCTGGCCTTGCAGCTGGTCAGGGCCGCCCCTCTGCTTCAGGGCCAGCAAGGCTACTGTGACTGCTGTCCCCAGAAGCCTGTGAGTTTGTTCCCGACAGGAACCCTGCAGGGCGCCTCGCTATCTTCAGTGCCCATTACTGGGTTCAGTACAGAAAAGGAACCTCAAGGAAGAAGCACAGGAGCAGAAGAGGAAAGGGAGACGGACGGCCTTCCTGGTCGCAGACTCCAGGCACTTGTGTGTAGAGGGAGCACACAGGGCCACCTGTCCCCTACAGCCCTGTCCACATGTAGGTCATCAGGGACAGGCTCCTGCAGGACATAGTACCTGGATCACACTCTGGCAGCCCTCCACAGTGTCTGTCACCCCCAGCAGCACCCGGTGTCTCAGGAGGGCCCTGTTGGCGGCCACCAGCCTCAGGTCTGTATTGGTGTTTACCTGTAAGACAAACGCCATGCTGCCAAGGAGCTCCTGGGCCACACGCTGTCCCATGCCCTAGATGGTACGTAGAAATCCTCACCCTCAAGAGTCTTCCAGGGGCCAGGGAGATGGCTCATTAGAATAAGCGCTTGCCTGGCAAGCACAAGGGCCTGAGTTCAATCCCCAGTTCCGCCAAAAAAAAAAAAAAAAGAGTCTTCCATTTCCTCCCCTATGGCAAATTCAGTAGTGTCAGACAGCCCTGGGCTGAAGCCCAGCTCTAGGTTTCCTTGGCTGCAGGGTCCTGGCCAAGGTGTGTCCGTCTCTAGCCTTATTATCTTCAGTTGTAGAATGAGAAAAAAGAGCATCCCTGTGTTCAGGTCTGTGAGATCTCACTGGATCATGTATGACACACTTGATCCAGGGCTAGAACACACCAGGATGCAGCAGAGGTTCATGGGACGTGGGAGGGACAGCTGACGCTGGGCACCCACAACAACTCTGTCTCCAAAGGCTGTACTGTGAGAGTCTGTGGCCCAGCACCCGTCCTCAGGAGGGCTGTTTCCTCCTGTTCTCACCCACACCAACCTCTGCTATAGGGAGGGAGAGACTATCATGTGGGCAGCCTTCAGATGCAGTTATTAACAGCCCGACCAAGAGTAAGGGCACTCACAAGGGACAAGACTCCCAAAGGGAGGGCTGTGAGGACTTTCGGGTGTCACAGTGATGGCACGGTCAGTGGTACCACATAGCAGAGGAGGCAAGGATGCTGACCAGGCCCCTCCCAGGTGAGACAACTCTGCAGTCAAGGAACCCTGCCCTGGCCCAATAGCACACGAAGGCAAATGAAAACCATACTAAGAATGTTCTAATTGGCCAACCTAACCCCATTTTATATACTTGCCTAAAACCATTTATTTGTTCTCATGATATATAGGTTTAATGTACACTGAATTTTCCAGGAAAGCCAGCGTCATGGAAACTGGTCATATTTTACCTCCAGGGTGCTCACCTGTTCAGAAAACCCCTCCACAACAGCTTAAGGCCTCATTCAGTCTCCCAGCATCTTGGGCAAGTTACTCCAGCTGCCTGCTTCCCACATTGGTGAGGGTAACACCCCATCTTATGGCGAACCCGGATGAAGCCAGCTAATCCACACAGGACACAGAGGAGCCCGTCACACAGCACGTCACCTCAGCACGTCACCGTGGTGGCAGAGCTGGATTACCAACACTGCACTCACCGCTGTGCCACAGACTCCACAAACAGGCACTTGCTTAGCAGTGTGACCTGCAGGGGGCACAGGTGGAGCCTCACCTACTTCCACACATGCTCTGGTCTGGAGAAAGGCTAACAAAGCAAAGCCCGAGGGGGAGACAAGATGGAACACGTGAAACGCAGAGGCCCTTGAGTATGCCTGTGATGTGTGTGGGTCATGACAGCGAGAGTGACCATGGTCGGGCAGAGAGATATACATCGTCCTAATAATGAGAAATCCCAGGATGTAGAGGCCTGTGAGCTGAGGCCCAATGGAAGGCCTGCGCAGAGCTGCACTGTGGCCGTAGATTCAATCTCTCTGTGCACCCCTTTCCCCACTGATAAACCAAGTCAGTAATATCAGCAGCCAGGGCCACGGAGAGAGCTCAGCAGTCTAAGCACCTGCCTAGACCGGTACAAGGAACTGAGTTCAATCCCTGGTACCACAGGCTGTGCTGGCCCCACCTCAGGCGCTCTGAGCCAGCCCCCAAGATGGGGCATGGTGGCACAAGCCTGTATTCCCAGTGCTGGGGAGGTTAAGACAAGAGGATCACAAATCTGAGCTGCATAGTAAGACCCTGTACCAAATACATAAAATTAAAAAAAAAAACAAAAAACACTACAGCTAGGCAGCATTTATCTTATACTGTTTTAAGTACTGTTCATGTTTAAGTCATTCAGTTCTCACAATAATCCTATGATAGAGCTAGTTACTACGCCATTATACAGATGAGGAAACTGAGGCTGTGAGAGGTTAAAAAACCTACAACCTGTGGCAAGCTCATCACCTGGCACTCACAGGGACATCACAAAATCCAGGGGAATAAAGCAGCCTGGAGAGCAGGAGGCAGAATCCTGAGCTGCCTCCCCAAGACTGCGTGCATCACATCTGCGTCCTTAGGGCTCCTGCCTGGTGCCCAGCGCTTCAGTGTCCTAGCTGAAGCAGATGGCTCTGCTTTCTCCTCTCCACAAGGTTTCCTGCTGGAGTAATGCTTTATGTTTTGCAGTCCAAGCACAAGGGCTTTGAAAGCAACCACAGAGCCTGGGGCAGCAGTCTCTTGCCAGCCTGGTAGCAAAGCCCAACAAAGATCCTTTCAGAATGATCAAGTCATAAAATTCCTACTTGTCCCCCTGAATGCAAGCATGAAAACAGAACTTGATTCCTAAACCCTGACTACACTGCGCAGCATCCTGCCCTTCCAGAGCTCTGGGCCGTGCAGGAGCAGTGTTTGCTAGGGGTCTCACAGCACAGCTCTGTGCCTGGGGCCACACAGGGTGGGCGAGGCTGGACGGTCCCAGGTCAATGCAATGCAAATACAGCTTCCAAGTGCTAGGCAAATCAATGGCCCACAGACACCTCAGTCTACTTCCCCAGACTTGGGACTGTGTTAAATATGCCTAAGTAGAAGATAGAATTAACATGGCCACTCAGCTGACCCTGAAATAAGATCATCTCAGACTGCACAGCTGGCATAATTTAAACACAAGGTCCTCAAAAGCAGGGCAGCAGGACGGATGGCACCCACTCTGGGAGGCTGAGACAGAAGGATTCCAAATTCAAACCCAGTCTAGGCAACTTAGCATGTTAGGGAGACCTCGTCTCAAAATGAAAATCCTAAAGCTCTGATACGTAGCTTAGGGCCAAAACCCTAGGTTCAGTCCCCAGGACCACCCAAAAAAAAAAAAAAAAAAAAAAGGAAGAGAAAAAGCCACAAAAATCGGAGTTAGACAGAGGTATGGAAAAGATTTGACCCACTACTGCTGGCCTTGAGACAGGAGGAAGAGGCACCAGCCGAGGAATGCTGGCCGCGGAGCCGGAAGAGCCCAGGAAGCGGCTTCTCCCCACAACCTGCAGAGAGAACGCAGCCCTGCCCACACCCTAACACCAGCCACAGACGGGAACCCGTGCTGGGCTCTTAACACACAAACTGAAGGTGTTCAACTTGTGTGGTTTTCAGCCACTTTGTTTATGGTAATGTTACAGCAGCGTCTAGGTCCGCTGGGACCCCATGAGGCACAGGCACTGTAAGAGTCAGGTCGGCACCCGCTGTCTCGGGGAAACTGCGCTCATCCACACTGCCATGGACCGCGTCAGGAAACCTCGCTCGCTCACAGAAGTGCCCTGAGTGCCAAGAGGGCGGAGGCCGTTGAAGACTCCATGAACCATAAAAGTGCTACAGGAGACCGCCGGGCAGAGCGGTTCTCAACCAGCAGAAGGGGGCGTGGTGGCGCACGCCTGTAATCCCAGCACTAGGGAGGCAGAGGCAGGAGGAGCCAGCCCGGGCTACAGAGTAAGATATTGTCGCAAAAAATAAAAATAAAAATCAATCCACAGGGATTAGGTATAAGAAAAACTAAAAAGACCTCTCTTTTGCTTCTGGGTCATAAGGCAGTGGTTTTGCCATGTCGTGGGCTGCCACGCTGACAGGATGCCTCACTACCGGACTCAGAGCAACAGGGCCAACAGGTCATGGCGTAAACTTCTAAAACCATGCACCAAATGCAAGCCTTTCCAAAGAGCTTGTGAAAGAGAGATTTAATTGTGCAATTTTTTTTTTTTTAAAGTCACTGGGCACAAGGCACAAGGGCCAGAGGAAATTTTCATGGTTGGAGAAACTCTTTGAGGCTGGCAAGGGGAACACCTGGCTGGAGATTCTCAGGCCTGCACAGCCCTTCTGGGGTAGTGCGGCAGGAACCCCTGCACGTCTCACCTTCCTCTGCTGCCTCTCGAAGACAAGCACAAGGGTCAGCGTCAGGCTTACGGCTGCCAGGGTCACAAGAAGCACGGCTGCCCAGTGGTTGCCCAGGGCAAACATCTGGCTGGTGGAGTAGATATTGGCCCATACCACCACGTAGAAGACCTGCAGGGAGCCAGGGGAGAACACAGTCAGGAACTTCAGCCACACTCAAGGGACACCCCGTGGACATCTCCCCTGGGCCCCAACTGATCACAGGCAGGAGATCTACGCAGCCACGGGGCCTGTGGGATGAGCTCGTGTTCCTTGTTTACAAGCGGCAGTCAATGCCAGGGCTTAGAAGCTGCTAAGCCTGCCTTCTAGAAAAAGGCAGGTTCTCGGGAGTGGACGTGTTGATCCTTGCACATCTCACCTTTCTCTGCTGCCTCTCGAAGACCAGCACAAGGGTCAGCATCAGACAGGTCCGAGCCTGTCTCCTCAGAGACTCCTTCAAGGTCCCCCTGGTGACCTGTTTCAGAACCCAGCACTTACTAGGGATTGATCAATGCTAGTCCTGCCCCGTCCCTTGTCCCCACAGTGGCAGCTGGAGCCAGCTGTGCAGTCCGACCACTGACACACGAAACAACAGTGACTCACAGTGGCTACGGACACAAGCAAGGAGCTGGACTGCCTGAGATAGAACACCAGTGCGGCAGGCATGTGTGTGTTTACATGTGCACATGTGTGGACATACATGTACAAGTGTCTTTATTAGGTGTGATCAAAAACCCCATAAACGTTGCTGCCAAGTGCATCCAACAGGAGGCCAGGATCATAAGAACAAAACTGCGTGTCCTCACCCACCGCATTCACTGAATCCAGCTCCATGCCATGCCTCACTCGCCCTCAATGTCAAAATGACCATGAAAGGTAAACAGTATGGATGGATACAGGACTTGCAGACAGCCACAAGAATGCAACTATAGACACTCACGAAAGAGGACTTCCAGAGCTGGTGCCGAACATGGTGATACATTCAAAGCTATGGGATACTAAAGGGGATTAAAGGCAAAGTGTCTTTTACTGTAATCATTTTGCTAATGTAACTACACACATTTTTTGGTCACACAGTGTGTACAGTCCCATGCTCTATGTAGGCACCTGGGGACACCATCCTCCCATGACTTCCTCCTATACCAAAGCAGGCCCATGGTTCCTTCCCAGGTACCTAGGTCACCAGCTCCCAATCCCTTCTCCTCAGGCCCTGGGCACAACACTGCATTGGGTAGTGCAAGGGGACGAGTGCAGGTCACACGCGGCCACCTCCTCCTTACCACAGCAAAGGCCAGCCGCATGGGCCTGGAGTTGTAGACGATGTATCTCCTCACTTGCGGCTCCAAGAGGGCGCTCTCAGCCAGGCTCCTGTACTGATCGGCAGGGAGCTGCATGGCCAGTCAAGGGAAAGGGATCCATCAGCCACGGGAGAGCCACCCAGGTACCCTCCAGCCAGTGAGCACAGCAGGCCTGATAGTCGCACAGAAGGGGCGTCAGGCGCAGAGGGCAGATGCCCAGCTCACAGCACTGGGTGGGAAGCCCAGCAGCAGCACAACACAGAGGCAATGGGCTGGGATGCAGGAGGACAGCCACAGATGGCTTTGGACCCAGGGTCAGCTCCTCCCAGCAAACACAGGACCACGGAAAGGTTAAGGAACAGGCCTTGGAGTTGGACAGCCTGGAGCCCCACTCTGGCTATACCACTTACAAATATGTGCTATGGGACCGAAAGCAAGTTAGCCTCTTCTCCAGGCCTCAGCTTCATCCTCTATAAAATAAGGGAGGGTGCCCACATTGGAGTTGGGTGCATATGAAATAAATTCATACATAAACAGTGCTAGGCACAGTGCTGGTTGCATGTTGAACTCAGGACAGGCGGTGCTAATCAGTCACATGGCAAAAAGGGACATCTATTTACACAGGCAAAGTTTCTACTCATCTTTCCAACCCAAACTACCACGTACACAGGCCCCATGAAAGCAGACTGAGAATACAGAATTAACAGACCAAAAAATTTATCTAGTAATATGGAGCCAGGCACGAAGGCACACACCTGTGATCCCAGCACTCAGGGAGGCTGACACAGGAGGATCTCCATGAGTTTGAGGTCAGCTGGGCTGCACAGTGAGTTCAAGGCCAGCCTGAACTACATAGCAAGACCTGACCTCAGAAAGAGAGAGAGGGAAAAGGGAAGAGAGAGAGAGAGAAAGAGAAAAAGAAGGAAAGGGATATGATGGAACAACATACAAACTGTTCACAAGCAGGCAAATCCAAAGTGAAAACAACCATCTTACAAAGATGCTCTTTTCACCAAGGCAGAAAGAAAACAGGAAGGAGGAGGCCGGCTGCACTCCCCAGCTTGGCACTACATGTCCAGAAAATTTTCTTTTCATGGTAACAAAAATGTTATAAGCAAAACTTCAATTCAGTTGTAAAGTAGCCACCCAGGCAAAAAATCATACATCTGTAATTCAGTGCTCTGCGAGGGTCATAACTTTAAGACCAGCCTGGGCAATTTGCTGATATAATGAGATGCTTTCTCAAAATGAAGAAAAATAAGGTGCTGAAGATGGAGAGGTGCAGCTCCGTGGCAAGGCCCTGGGTTGCATCCTATGTACTGGAAAAATCTAAAGTCTTCAGGCCAAAATGAGGAGAGCACCCCCTCATGCTGCTCCCCCACCCCCACTGCCATACAGCCACAGTCACTCACCCTTGGCTCACACAGGGAAGGCTTCACCCCACCAGGGTGGAGAGGGAAACACACCTACACTGCCGCACACCAAAAGCAAGAACTGCGATTCACTGCCCACTCTCTATGTGCCAAGGGCAGGACACTTATTCCTTGGCCTTAATTCTTCCTCTTTTTTCTCTTTCTTTCTTTCTTTCTTTTTTTCTTTCTTTCTTTCTTTTAATATTTGGTACAGGGTCTTACAGCATAGCTCAGACTTGTAGTGATCCTCCTGTCTCAGCCTCCCCAGAGCTGGGATTAAAGGTGTAAGCCACCACCCCTGGTTTTGGTGGCCGGTTCAGCATGCCCGGGGCAGGGCCCACACAGCATGTGGTGCTGGAGATCGAACCTGGGTCCTTGTGCTTGCCTAGGCAGGCCCTTAGACTGCTGAGCTATCTTCTTGGCCCAGGATTACTTCATTTAACCCAAACATAAACTAACAGGCACTAATAATATTGACCTTACCTGCGGATGATGAGGCAGAGGCTCTGAGAGGGCAGCTTGCCTGCTCAAAGTCAAACTGCACCTGTATTCAGAGGCAGGGATGTGTGAAGGGCAGCCCTCACTTCATTACATGGGAAGGAACTCTATGGTAATGCAGTAAATTGAAGAGAAATTTCTTCTGCAAAAGTAGAATGCAGTTCCCTTTCCTGTGAGGCCTTCCTCCTGCCCACCCAGCAGCTCCTGCTTATCCTTCAAGACCCCATAGCAACTGTGATCCTCTGAGAAGCTTTCATAATCCCTCACCTGACCATTTTGTCATTTTCTCTGATGAATGTCTTCAAAACCCTGTACATTCCTCTCTTGTGGCATTTATGTTGTGCTGTCCTGATTTATCCAACACAGGAATGTGGGCCCTGCATCCTGTTCACCTCTATACCATTCAGCTAAATAAGGCCCTGGCACAAACAGGCAGCCCAAAGCAGACAGATGCTAAGTGAATGAGCTGGGAAGTCCAGGCAGCTCGAGCACGTGCAAGCAGAGTGTCCAAAAACATCTGAGGAGCTGGATGGTTGGATGGATGGGTAGGTGGGTGGGTGGGTGTGTGGGTAGATGCACGATGGATGGATGGATGGATGGATGGATGGATGGATGGATGGATGGATGCAGGATGGATGCAGGATGGATGGATGATAGAAGGATGGAAGGAGGGATGGATGGATGGATGGATGGATGGATGGATGGATGGATGATAGAAGGAAGGATGGAAGGATGGAAGGATGGATGGATGGATGGATGCAGGATGGATGGATGATAGAAGGAAGGATGGAAGGAAGGATGGATGGATGGATGGATGGATGGATGGATGGAAAGATGGATAGAAGGATGGGGTGACATACAGACAGATGGATGGTCAGGTAGAAAGCAGAAACTCAATGAAAGTCACACTTACCTGAATGCCCCAGGCCTGCAGCTGCTCTTCTGCGGCTCCCAGGTCGAAGGAGATGGGTGCACAGGTATTGTCGACCCGGAGGACTGAGAGGACCTGGCCATTGTGCAGCTCTGAAAGCAGACCAGAGCTTCAGCTGGGAGAGGGACAGCTGCTCTGGAGGGAGGCATTACGCCTCAAGCTGTGAAAACCTTCTTGGGACAAGAGGGACACAACATATGTCCTTAGGTCCCTAAGGACTGGCTTTGACTAGGAAGTAACAAGGAGGCAGAACTGAGGCAAAGCAAGGAGACTCCTCAGATGAAGTGCGCGACCCAGAAGAGCTTCCATAAGCAGAACCTGAACTCCTACTGCACTGCAGGCCTGGTATGTGGATATTTTTTCAAGCACTACAAAAGCAGCCCAACTTCTCAATTTAAATTCCAAGTAGGTTCTGAGTCTAAGTAAGAGATAACTAGTGATGGTACAGTAATGCCCCCACCCAAGATATCTGCTCTCTAGAGCCTGTGGATACTCTGCCCTCCATGGCAACAGGGAATTAAGGGTGCACAAAAGAGGAAGGTCACAGGTCAGCACATCCTGGGTCACCCAGAGAGACCCACTGTCATCCTAGGGGAGGAAAGAGGTGGAAGCAGAACCAGAGGGAGATGTGACTGGCAAAAAAGGCCAGAGAGAGCACTGCTGCTGGCTTGGCCAGTGAGGAAAGGACCATGAGCCAAGGACTACAGGCTGCCTCTGGGAGTCCTCCATAGAGCCTCCAGTAAGGAGCACAGCCCTGCTGGTGCCCTGATACCAACTCTGTGAAACCCCCATCAGACTTCTGATCTCAGAAGTGCAAAGAAATACATTTGGGTTTTAGCCAGTATGTGAGCCAAACTGCTGGTCACTTTATTAAAGTCGGGAGCCAATACGTGACTTATTGGTAACCCCATAGTAATCCACCTTTAGCTGCTGTAACAGAATGTACCACAAACTGTGTACATCATTGTTATGGTTTATGTCTAGTTGTCCCCCCAAAGCCTCATGCAGTCATGGGGTGAGGACTTCTAGAGTTTGTGTTAACTCATGATCCACTGGGATTATGTGTGATCCAAGGCTGGGATTATGGGTTTTAGTACTGCTGGGATTACCCATAGGTGGGTAAATACTGGGAAGTACCCATAGGTGTGAGTACTTCCCCTACCCTGGGGCAGGTAATTTGCATTACAATGTAAGGTGGGAAGAGAAGCTAGCTGCTTGAGCTGCTGCTACCCCTCCCTTGCGCTCTTGCTTTTTGCAGCCACCATGAAAGGTTGCTTTCTGCTCTGTGCTGCTGTGCGTTGGACCCAGCTGAGTATGGACTGAAACCTCCAGTAACTGTGAGCTAAATAAACCTTTCCTTCCTTCATTTTGAGTGTCGGGTATTTGTCCCAGCAAGAAGAGAAGAGTAACTAAGACAATCATACACAACAGGAGGTTATTTGACTCATAGTTCTACGTGTAGGGAGTCCAAGATCCAAGCACCAGCGCTTGGGTAAGGACCTGGGGGCTGCATTACAACCAGGCAGAAGGGGAAGTGGGCATGCACCTGAGAGGAAAACTGGGCTGAATGCATCCCCTTTTATTAGGAACCACTGTCAACATAACTAGCCCACTCCATGACGAAGACACCTCTCTACCACGAGGGCAGAGCTGCCCTGACTTCGTCACCTCTTCAAGGCCCTATCTCAACACCAAGACACTGGCGCTAGAGTTCCAACATGAGTTTGGGAGGGGACCACTCACACCACCTCCAAGCACATCTTCAACACATTCACACAGGAGGTTTTCATTTTCTCAAAAAACACATAGCAACCCAGGCTGGTCACAAGAGCTACCAAGACTCCTGCTCATAGCGGTGGAATGAGGTCAGCTGGAGAGAAAGGCCTGGAGTGAAATCCTCGAAGCCCAACTCTATTGCTTCAGCTGCTGGACCAGAGCGCTGGGCTCTCTTCCTCTTATGGCCAAGGCTACATGATTCCTGGTCAGTAGCCGGAGGGCTCATGGGGCACCAGCCCCAAGACACAGGCATGCACAGCTGAGGACATGCTCGTGAACACTGTCTGTGGTCACTGCCATTACCATGGGACACAGATTCTGTGCTGGCCCCAAGCTTCTGCCACCTCAGCCTCAGCCAGGCTGCAGCCATGCCAGAGCACTCCAATGCAGTGGCTGTTTCCACACTCCAAGCACAATTCTATCCCCTGCCTTGCTCAGTCCTTCCCTAAGCCCTGCTGCCGGGGCCAGTGAAATGGCCAGCTCCACCCACCCTGGCCTCCTCAGTAGCAGGCTTCTCAGCTGGCTTCTCTGTACCTGCCCTTTCTGCTGCCATGCATTCCCCACAGCAACCGCAGCACAAATCCAATGATGCCAACCCTCAAGGAAAGCTTCCTCTAGCTCCTGACAAGACCTAATCTTACCATGCTGAAAGGAGACACAGCCTTCTATCAGACAGACCTTGAGCCACCCCTGGTGCTTTGACTCCCTACACAAGAACTGTTCTCTCCCGCCTCAGGACCTCTGCGCATCATTTCCCCTCCCTCGAACACTTCCACCTAGCTTCTCCTGCTTGAATCCTGCCTGTGCTTTCCATACCAGTTCACCCATCACTTTTACCGGAGCCCTCAGCAACATTTTCAACTCTTAGAAGATCAGATCCTACAACCTACCCACAACTCCCTGCTCATCTCCATCACAAGCACTAAAGATGAATACATATGCATGCAATTATTCCATTACATGCATATTCAGTGACTTCCTTCCCCACCAGATTACACACTTCCACATTGGACTGTTCATCACTGAATTCCCAAAGCTGACTTCAGGGTCTACGACACACATCTGATGTATAAATAAGTTAATATGAAGCCAAGGGTGATGGTGCAGGCCTGTAATCCCAACACTCAGGAAGCTGAGGCAGGAGGATTACGCCAGGAGTTCAAGGCCAGTCTGGACTATAAAACAAGAGCCGGTGTAAAATTAATATGAAAGGACTTTGGTCCCCAGTCCTGAAGACTGATAGGATCTTTGTTTACTTGGTTGAGTTTTTTTGAGATAAGGCTGTAGTGCAGGCTGACCTCAAACTCATGACCTACCAACCTCAGTTACCTGAGTGCTGGAGTTATAGGTGTGGCCACAACAACAGCTAGTAGTGCTCTTTTCAAGGTTCCATAAAATTTGACAGTCTGGGCTGAGGAGACAGCTCAGCACTTAAGCACCTGCCTTGCAACCACAAGGTTCTGAGTTTGATCCCTACTACCACATGAGGTTCCAGCCCCGGAACCAGGCGTGGTGGCACAGACCTATAATCCCAGTGCTGGGAAGGCTGAGACAGTAGGATCATTGGAGTCTGAACTACATAGTGAGACCCTGGGGGTGGGGCCCACATGGCATGTGGTGCCAGGGATTGAACCCCAGTCCCTGCGCTTGCCGAAGCAGGTGCTTAATCTGCTGGGTTATCTCGCCAGCCTGACTTATTTGTATTTTTTTTTTTTATTATCCTCCCACATGGTCCCAGAAGGATAAGAAGTAGTTTCCTAAAAACAAAATATAAAAAGATACAGATGAACCTGAAGAATATGCCAAGAAAGGCCAGACAAAAAGAAAATAAAGGCAGATGACAAGAACAGGCCCTGGGTGTGGCAGCCTAGCTCTGCAGCAGGCACTGGGCTGAGGCTTCCATGCCAACTTCAGTTCACCGACTCCTCCAAGACCCTGCAGGGGTGGCATCCAGATGGGAAGGGGCACTGTCTCGGCCTGGCTCTCCACACACAGCCAGCGAGAGAGCCCCACAGGGCTCTGGACTTCCTCCAGGGGGCTCTCTGCCCAGTGAGTGCTTGCAGAACACTGCAAAAATTTCTCATTGTGTCTCTGTTCACCTTTCAAACCAAGAGTTCTGGATTCTCAGCAACACTGTTTCTTCTGTCTCACAAAAGGAGAACATTGAGTCCCCCATTCAGAGATAGCTGCTTATACACTTAGGCTAAGAAAAGCTACCAAGGAAGAAAATGTGTGTGTGTGTGCACACATATACTCGCAGGACAGCGCAGTCTCCTGCAAGGGAACAGGAACTGGCTTGTCCCAAATCAGGAGACCAAAGCCTTCGAAGTCCTGAAGCTAAATCACCCTGCTCATTCCGCCCCGCTGCTGATGTGCATGTGTCTAAACTGCTTCCCTAATTAGAGCACACATAAAAGAAACCCTTGTTCTGAAGCAGCCAAGAATCAAACTCTGCAGGTGACCAGCCACAGTTGGACGCCCCACAGTTCCCAGTGCTGCTTCCGCTGCCTCCACCAGGCACCCACTCACCCACTTCATTCCATACACTACTTGCTGGACATCCGCAGTGGGGCAGGCCCTGCGCTGGTGCCACAGATGCAAAGCCCCTGCCCTCCTACAGTTTGCATCTGTTTTTAATGGTGCCAGGATAGAATCTAGGGATTCCTAAATGCTAGGCAAGAGCTCTACAACAGAAGGAACGGCGTGTGCAAAGGCCCTGTGGCAGAGCAGCAGGGAAATGAACAGAAGAGGAGCAGCAGAAGCCGTGCAAGCAGGCCTGGCAAGCAGGCGAATGATGGATCTTCACGCTAAGTCCAATGGGAGACACTGAGGTGAAAGTGACAAGACTGGATGTGCCTTTGACAAAGATCCCTCCTGCTGCCATGGGGAGAAGAGAAATGAAGACCAGCTGGGAGGCACAAGGAGGCAGGGACACAGAAAATAAAAGAAAGTGGCCCGGAAGTGATTCCAAAGCCACCGCCCTCACCAAAGGCCTCTCTTTGCTCTTCCACTGCCCCCAATCACACAATACAAGCCCAGATCCACCTAGGGGAAGGAGAATGAAAGGTCATGACCTTACCTTGTCCCCACCGTGGAGGACTCCCCGCAGGCAGTGTGCTCCAGCCAGGGGAGGAGGTGGGCAGCGGGCTGGCTGCCCCGCCGGGGTCCATCTGCGGCTCACAGGCCATGGCCGGGAGCCAGGCGGATTCTACTTCTTCCTGGAGCTGTGGTTCATGCTCAGATCCACTCCCTTTTAGAAAACAACATGAAAAGGAACTTCAGGAGGGCCCAAGAGCAGGCTGGGCTGTTTGGAGCTGAGGCCAAAGTGACAAGGGCGAGGGAGGGGCACCAGCGTTTTGGTGCTGACTTTGGTTTTTGGTCCAGGCTGAGGAAATTTCTCAGAAGGAGAAACAGAGGAACTAACCAGCCCCAGGGCCTCGGCTGAGAACTTCCCCTCTGGTCTTACAGCTTTTCCAGGTCAGACATGCCAGAAACCCACAGGTCCCTCGAAGGGGCCAGGTCCCACTCGCAGGGGTCTGGAGCTTACTGAGGATGCCCCAGGTGACCAGACAGGGGAGGCGCAGACACTACAGGACCCTTCTTCACCCCTAGGACCTCACGGAGCTTCCCACAGACACAGGAAAAACATCAGAGGATGAGAAATATAAATTAGAAAAAAGTGACCACCATGAAGAACAAAAATACCCAGATAGTCAGGTAGTCAGGTTCCCTAGCTGAGACAGTGGGGGGTCTGAGTTCAAGAACCTGGACTCCGCAGTCAGATTAACCAGGTTCGATGCCAGCGCTATTAGGAGTTACAGAAATCTAGGCACCTGGTTTAACCGCAGAGCTCCACCTCTCCAAATCAAACAACTCTCCTCAGCAGACCTCTGGGCCTCTGCAATTAATGCATGAGTGATTGGCCTAAAGGGCAGAAAACACAACCAGGGGAGGCAGTCACACCCACAATCCCGCACTCTGGGAGGCAGAAGCAAGACGAGGGAAAGTCAGAACCCAGCCTTTCGAAATTCAGCCACTTCAAGAAACTGCCTCAAAATAAAAAACAAGGCTTGGGAAGTGGCTCAGTGCAAAGGGCCTGAAACCAATCACCAGAACTAGGTAAAGCACATACAGCAGCCTTTGGGACAAATGATGCATTCCATGGAGTTCAACTCTTAAAAACCAACTGTGCTGGTCGCGGTTTGGAGATCTGATAGAGCTATGTGTGTGAGCCAAGCATTTCATTTTGAGCTTCCAAGTGGCCAAATCTAACAGGAAACACTATCAGTTAAATGATCACTGTAAGGACCAGCAAGATGGCTCAGCAGACTAAGTGCCTGCTTAGGCAAGCACAGGGACTAGGGTTCAATGGATCCCCAGCACCACATGCTGTGCCGGCCCTGCCACCAGGTGCACTGAGCTGGCCACCAAGATCAGAAGCGGCAGCATACACCTGTAATCCCAGGGCTGGGGAGGCTGAGACAAGAGGAGCACTATGAGTCCAAGCTGCGTAGTAAGACCCTGTACCAATCAGGGCAAAGGAGAGCAACTCATCCTGTTTGCATATGACTCTAAAAGGTCTCAGAAACACCTTTGAAGCACCAGAGCCAAGACCCTGAGGGCACAGCGGGCATCCCCCTTAGCCTCTTTCCTCCCCCACAGCAGTGACACTCTTTGTGGGTGTCTCTAGGATGAAAAACTCAATGTCCAGGCCACCTGCTCTGGCTGCCACTTGCACACTATACCCCTTCTATGGATCACCTAGGAATCTGAGAATTTCCTTTTGCCAAGTAAGATCAGGCTGAGTTTCCCGGAATGGCACCAAGGTCTGCTAAAAGTTCTGCCCAGAGTCCACCAGAATCTACTTCTGCTGCCAAGTTTGAGGGACTGGGGAAGCCATGCAGAGTGTGGGCACACAGGGAGGGAGAGCAAGCTGGCTCCAGGACACATCACTGGTGAGGACCCCTCCAGGGAAACCTGATCTTCATGTTCCCATCACCTTCCGCCTCTCTCAACACTGCACAGGACCTAACTGCACAATGTGTGGAGCCCGGTGCAAAATAAAAATGTAGGCCCCTTGTTCAGAATGATGACTTTAAAGACGGTGACAGCAACCAAATTGGGGGAGGTCTTCAGTAGGGTCCCATTAACACCCGGAGCTGCTGACTTGAAGCTCCAAAGTTACATGGGAGTCCCATTGCCTGACAAAAAATACATAAAAGATGTAATCCCAACACTCTGGAAGGCTGAGGCAGGCAAACTGCAGATTAAGCATAGCCCAGACAACTTAGTGACATATGAAACTTCATCTCAAAAGTAAAAACTGAAAATAAAAAAGGGCCTGGGAATGAATGTACCTCAGTGTGATACTGGTGG